GGGGATGGTAAGAGAAAGAAGACTTGTTGTATACAGCATGAAATTTACACTATTATATAGATCCTGAATGTCTTCCTATAAATCCTGAATGTCTTAGAAAAAATTCTTAACAAATTTACATCCTAGAAAACATTCACATACCTTAAGAAGATGACAGCAATGTCACCATCCTATTATATTATATAGTGAAGAATGCTGTTTCTTCGCTCACCCCCCTTTACACATCAAGTGTAGAAAGTGATGCCAAGCTGCAGAGACTACATTGTTCACAGAGACCATTCCTTAAACCTACATCTGTCAACTCTGAGATTTTCACGTTAAAGCAAACTAAACTATATCTGAGATACTGCCCTCTGTAGGAGAGGTTACAAAAAAAAAAATCTCCATTTTTGAAAGTAAAGTACTAGGTTGCACAGCTATTAAAAGCACAATTCAGGCATTAAATGATGACTACAATTTATTCTAGGAGGCCTGAGTGCACCGTAAGTGCTCAAAGGTAAATAAAAAAGTTGATGGCGACTTCCCAGCTATTCACTCAAAAGGAGAAAGAGGTAACAATCTGCATCTAAAAAACTTACAGCCTCTGGAAAACCCCTCTGGGAAGTTCTAGTCTGTCCTACCCGGTCACAGTCACGAGGTGTCAGAATTGGTTTACTCTTTATTCTTACAGGCAAAGGCAAAAGCCCTATTAACTCCCCCAAAAAAGAAAAGTCCCAAGTTCCAAAGTAAGATCAGAAATTTAAGATTCCTAAACTTCAGTCTATTACTAAGCAGTTTACTTTGTTACACTAAAATAAAATCAAAACTAAAGATAAATCCACAGAAGTTGTAGCACAAATCCATTATCATTGCAACTGCTCTTAGATACTGGGTGGCAGAAACAAATGACTTACACTTTGAAATTATTCTAACTATAGTTGAGGCAGCAAAGTTATTCATAAGTTTTGGGTCCTCTTCTTTCAAAAACTGTTATCTGAAATTACCACTCCACAGCATACACTCTGTACTGAAAATCAGTACTGCAACTTTTAGCAATCAATTTGAACAATCTAAAAAAGAAATAAACGAGCCTGGTGTCCTAGTGGATAAAGAGTGGAGCTGCAAACCAAAAGTAGGCAGTTCCAACCCAACATCAGCTCCATGTGAGAGTCTCCTTCCTTAAAGACTTACAGGTTCAGAAACCAGCTGAAGGGGTACATGTGATGGACTTCAGTGGACTATAGGAGGTTTGCTTTCTGGTTTGAGATAAATACGTGTCCTTAAATTAGTAGACAGTATTTATATATGGAATGCAAGGAATGGCAAGAATGAATTCTTTAAAAGACCTTTTCCCCCCTCAATGTTCAATGTTATTCTTCAGTGACTTTGAAGAAAAAAGACATGGCAGGTCGTGTTCATGGTATTTTTTTGAAAGGCCGTCTTCATGGTTTTTTTTTTCCCCCCCCCAAACTCAGCACTGGTAACAATTAGTAACTTTTTTAAGACACCACTCTTTTTTACAATATAAAGTCTTAATTTGGAATCAAACATGAAACAAATCCCAACTATTTCTAAACTTGACAAACTGGGTGCGCGAAGTAGGGCAATAATGAGTTTCTCAGAGGTTACTCAACCGAAATTTTTGGATAAATAACTTTGGCAAGCAAGCTACCTTGATCCTAGAGCATCAGGATAAAAACTTAAAAAATGATAAAATATCACGAGTTTCGCTTAGGGAGGGTATAGAAATCATCCAAATGGCTCTGCCTTCTTTGCCCTCGAAAGGTCCGGGCCGGGCGGACCGAGACAGCAGGACAGCTCGTGGGGTGCCCGGGGCCTCTGCGCGGCCCGCGAGGTGCCCAGGAGGCAATGTGGCGCTCTCTCCTCTGCCTCCCTCCTGGGTCAGGCCACGGGCCACTGCAAAGTCGCCCTTACTCACCGTGAAACTCTGATCGCCGACACTGCCCACGGAGAAGCAGTGATCTCCGGGATTCACGGCCCCGGTGAGCACCTGGTGCAGGTTCATGTCGGTGCCCTACTCCCGCAGCGGACGCTGCGTGCGGCTCATGCCCGGGTCAGCGGCCGCGTCGCTCTCGCCTTCCTTTCAGGGGCGGTGGCAGCTCTCCGGCTGCGGCTGCTGCAGTGACGAACGCCAGAAGCCGGAGCCACTCAGCTGGGGCTCATGGCTCATCCCGGGTCGAGGCGGGCGAGGCCCGAAGGGGGCGGGTCGGCAAGCGGGCGGGGCGCCGCGCCGGTCCAAGCACCTGTCACTGCCCGCGTGGGCCCAGGTGAGACAGAGTCGACAGACCGCCCGCAAGCCAACGCCGGCCAACTGGCAGAGACGGCCACACCCTCAACACACTTCCTGGGGGCCCGGGGCAGTCAGCCCTGACCGAACCGAAATGGCGCAGGCAGCACGCGCTCACGGGGTCCGGCTGACCGATCGTCCCTGCTCCACTGCCCGGCCCCCCGCCCCCCCAATGTCTCCAGCCACCCTACGCGTCTAGGTCCCTTGGCTGAAATATCGCGAGATATCTGTGGTGAGGTACCTTTTTTTTTTTTTTTTTTCCCTTAACCACAGTATACATATTTCTAAGTGGCTGTGAAGCAGCCTTGGCGAGACAAAATTGGCCAATCCCAAACGCTAGTGTACCTAGGCCTCCGCCCACTATGGAGTGTAGACCAATAGTGCTTTAAATTTTGTGAGCTAACACCTTGAGGGTTGAATAGAATAAGCCAGATATTATGAGTCCAGAATGAAGGGAAAATTACCAATGCTTACTGTAGTTTAGAGCATAATTTGACAATTGGATCTAAAAACTTAAAAATCACTGAAGTTGTTGAGTCCTTGTCTCTTGGAAACTACCAATCCCAACATGCACCTCTTCCTTCAGCGGCTCCTGAAAATCAAGTAAACGTGAACCTGGAAGAACCTCTGCTACTTGAGGTTACTGTCTAGATTACCACGCAATTCGAACTTCCCAAATGGGATAATTAATAAGCACTAAGAGAAAACCTTTTTAAAACGAAGTTTGTCTTGTATATTAGTCTGGTGTATAGAGCATTTGTTTTGAAAAAGGTACTTAAGGCTTCCGAAATTATCTTGTCAGTAACCAAAGTGAGATTTAACTCTAGGATTGCGTCTGGACAGTTTTGCATTATTCTTTATAAACGTGTGTTAAATTGTGACCGCTGCGCACGCACAGACACACACACACACACGCACACACACACATTGTTGTCTACCATCGAGTCGGAATGGACCCACAGAAGATCCTCCAGAGGGTTTTCAGAGGCAGTTAATAAATAACATGGGAGTAGATTGCCCATCCTTTTCCAGTAGCTGGTGGATTTGAAGCACACAACTGCAGGATTGCAGCACAGCTTCGCCACTAAACCACTAGAGTTTCCTTGATATATATAGTAGAACTATCTAATACCTCCCCACCCCCCGGTTCCACATAGTGGTCAAAGAATTAAGAGGTGAACACAATATTTCTTACTCTCATCACCGCCCTGACCCAAGGAGAGCTTCCCTAGGGCCCGCATCTCAACATCAAGAAAACAAAAATTCTCACCCACCTGAATAGTGAGTGATAGATGGAGAAGGGATTGAGGTTGTTAATAATGTCTTCTTTCTCCTATCCACAATCAACACTCTTGGCACCGTTAGTCAGGAATCAAAAGACAATTAGTTGCGACTGTCAAAGACCTCTCCAGAGTGCTAAGAGAAACTGTCAGTCTAAAGACTAAGGTGCATCTGATCCAGGTCATGATCTTCTCAACTGCCTGCTATGCATTCAAGAACTGGAAATAAGTGAGGATGACAGAAGAAAAATTATGCTTTACAGTTGTGGTGCTGGAGAAGAGTATTGTACATACCATGGACTGCCAAAAGAAAAAAGATCTGCCCTAGAGAAGGTGAAACCAGATTTCTCCGGGTAGGCAAGATTTTGAAGTTCTGTCTCACATACTTTGGGAATGTTGTCAGGAGGGACTAGTCCTTGTAAAAGGACACCATAGTTGGAAGAGTGAAATGTCAGCACAAAAAAGCAAGACCTTAGATATGGTAAATTGACACAGTGACTGTGGCAGTGGGGCAGGTGTGTCAGAGATGATAAGATTGGCTCAGGATAGGATAGAGTTCAGAACTGTTGTTTGTAAGGCCATTTTGAGTCGTAGTTGACTCAAGGGCACATAACAACAATGATGAATTAATGACAAGAAGCTATGCTGCAATCCCAAAGCCACACAGTTCAAATCCATCAGCTATTCCTCTTGATAAGATTCTGTGGGATCCTAAAACCCATTAATAACTTCTTACATTAAAAAAACAAAACCCCTCAACCTATTGCAGTGAAAATTATTCAGATTCCTAGAGATCCAATAGGATAGAGTAGAACTGGGCTATTAAGTGTTTAGGGCTGTAATTTCCTTTTTTGAAAGCAGATTGCCATATGCTTTTCCCACAGTGTAGTTGGGGGCTTTAAGCTACCAACTTTTAGTTAGCAGCTCTGTGTTTTATCTGTGCCCCTAAGGGTGACTTTGTGGTCAGACTATTAAAGCAAGGAGATGAAAGATGTAAGAGAAAATTAAGTATGTCTGCTCCTCATCTTCCCCTCTCCGTCCTATTCTTATCTCTTGTAAAACTGAAAAGCAGCATTGCCTGCATCTCTTACAGTTTCGCCTCCTTTCAGCCCAGGAACTCCAAGTCCATATCCCAACACATGAGTCCAGAAAAATTGATGAATTAAATTATTCTTGGAACTATAATTTTGTCATTCTGCCCGTTGAATGTTCCATTTTTGTCCTTTAATATGTTCTTGCTTTTCCCTCTAAGAAATGAAAAAGGTAATATATTATCGCATCCCAGTAATAATAGCAAAGTTCAACAGAGCAGCAAACAACAGATGCTGGCGAGGTTGTGGAGAAATTGGAACCCTTATTCACTGTTGGTGGGAGTGTAAAATGGTGTAACCACTGTGGAAGGCAGTATGGCACTTTCTCAAAAAATTTGAAATAGAAATAGCATTTGACCTGGCAATTCCACTACTGGGGATATACTCTAAAGAAACCAGAACTTCACCTAAAGAGATATATGCACACCCATGTTTACTGCTGCGTTGTTCATAATAGCAAAGAGAAAGAAGCAACCCAAGTGCCCATCAACAAATGAATATATAGAGAAGCTGTGGCATATTCACATTAAAATACTATGCAGCAATGAAAACAAGGAATTCACAAAATATTATGCAAAATGCATGACCCTGGTGGACATTGTGCTGAGTGAAATATCTCAGTCACAAAAAGACAAATATTGTATAACACCCGTTAAGAAACAGGACTGATATGGGGCTTCGGGGAAAACTAAGAAAAAAGAGGATAAATAATGAACACTGGATTGAAACAGAAGAGAGAAAGAACTGCTTAAAAAGAATATATGATAAGGTATTATTTGCATGAAAACAATCCAGAGTAAGAGGTGCACAGCAAAGTGAACTAGGAGGTTGGGGGAAGGAAGGAAATTGTGCAGAAATGAAAGAATTTTTTTAAAGAGATAAGTGAACTGGGGTGATAAGAGGAAAATGTGCAACAATGAATGAATGGAAATCCAAATTTTCTGTTACCTTTCAGTAAAACATCAATAAAAAATATGTTGAGGATTTTTTTAAAGGGAAAGGTAAAAAAAATTAAAGAGTTGTTGTTGTTGATTGCCATTGAGTCAAGCATGACTCATAATCCCTTTGAACAAAAGGTCTGAAGCCTTTCTATAGCTATCATCATTTATCAACATTCATAGAGTTTCCAGAGTCATGTTATTTAGGAAGTAGAAAGTTTTTAAGAAGAAAATCTGTTTTAAACTTAACAATTGCTCATGTGAAACCTGCAATTTGGACCAGCGACAGTTATCGAAACAGAGCAAGGAAACACTGAATAGTTCAAAATCAGGACAAGAGTGTGTCAGGGACGTAATCTTTCTCCATATCTTTTCAATCTACATGTGGAACGGACAATTCGGGAGGCTGGACTTCATGAGGAGTAATGCAGCATCAGGATTGGAGTAAGACTCAGACATCCTTGTCTGTTGAAACTGAGGAGAACCTGAAGCATTCAGAGGGCCAATGACTTTAGTCTGCAATATGGACTAAAGCTAAATATCAAGAAAACTAAGATTCAGCTTTCTGCATGTGGCAGTCCAGTTTTGCCAACACCACTTTTTAAAGATGTTGCTATTTCCCTATTTGATAGGTTTTATTTCCTTTTTAAAATATCAGTTGACCATAGGTATCTGGGTCTATTTCTGGGTTCTCAATTCTGTTCCATTGGTCTATGTGCCTGTCATTGTACCAGTACCATACTGTTTGGTTTTGAGGTCAGGGAGTTCTATACCTCCTATTTCATTTTTGTTTCTCAGAAGTGTTTAGCTTATTAGAGGTCTCTTGTCTTTCAAAATAAGCTTGACAATTTCCCTTTCAATCTCCATGAAAAGTGAATTCTGTATTTGGATTGGGATTGTGTTGAAAAAGTAGGTTGTCATTTTCACAAGATTGACTCTTCCTACTAATGAACAGGGCACATTGTCCCATTTCTTTAAGTCTTTTATTGTGTCTTGCAAAAATATTCTGTAGTTTTCTTAGTATAGATCTTTTCTGTCTCTAGTTAGGTGCAAAGTAGCTCAATTTGTGGTTGGCTATTGTAAATGATTTGCTTTCTTGACTTCCTTCTCTGAGTTCTCTTTGCTACTGTAGAGGAATCCAACTAATTTTTGGATGTTGATCTTATATTCTGCCACTCTACTAAGTTGGCCCACTAACTCGCACAGATTTTTGATCCAGTCTTTGAGGGTTCCTGGGTACATTATCATATTATCTGCATATAATGATAGTTTAACCATCTCTTTCCCTGATATGAATGCCTTTTATTTACTTCTCTTGTGGTATTGCCCTACCAAGCACTTCCAATATAATATTGAATAGAAGTAGTGACAGTGGACATCCCTGTTTGGTCCCTTTTCGCAAGAAAAATGCTTTTACTATTTCTCATT